GTCTTTTCCAGAATCCTTTTCAATTCTCTATTTGAAACCTCAACTTGGCCACTAGTCTGTGGATGATATGGAGTTGCAACTTTATGAGTTACCCCATACTTACTTAAAAGTGCCTTAACTTGTTTATTACAAAAATGTTTTCCCCCATCGCTAATGATTGCCCTAGGAGTGCCAAACCTGGTGAAAATATTTTTCTTCAAAAACTTAACAACTACCTTGGCATCATTAGTGGGTAATGCTACAGCCTCTACCCATTTAGACACATAATCCATAGCCACTAAAATATATTGATTGGAAAAAGAATGTGGAAAAGGTCCCATAAAATCAATACCCTAAACATCAAATAACTCACATATAAGTATATTGTTTAAAGGCATCTCATTTTTTCTAGAAATATTTCCACTTCTTTGACATTGATCACATGAAACTACAAAAGAGTATGCATCTTTAAAAATAGAAGGCCAATAGAAACCTGATTGTAGAACCTTAGTTGCTGTTTTCGTGGCTCCAAAATGACCACTTGCTTCACGAGTATGGCAATGATGAAGTATGCTAGCTATCTCTTCTTCAGGGACACATCTCCTAATAATATGATCTGCACACAATCTATACAAAAAAGGTTCTTCCCAAAAATAATTTTTCACATCAGAAAAGAATTTCCTCTTTTGTTGATAAGATAAATCAGGAGGAAGAATATGACATGCCAAAAAATTTGCAAAGTCAGCAAACCAGGGAGAAGATGTCACCTTAATAGTGTACAGTTGCTCATCTGGAAATTCTTCCCTAATCGGGCATACACTTACCTCTTGGCTAGGATATTCTTAAGCCTTGACAAATGATCAGCAACTGAATTTTCAATCCCTTTCTTGTCTTTAATCTATAGGTCAAATTCTTGTAGCAGTAGAATCCATCTAATTAACCTTGGTTTCGCATCCTTCTTTGCAAGCAAATACTTAAGAGCAAAATGATCAGTATAAACCATAATTTTGTTAGCAATCAAATAAGAACGAAATTTATCAAAAGCAAATACTACCGCCAAAAGTTCCTTTTCTGTGGTTGTATAATTCAATTGGGCTTCTGGAAGGGTGTGGCTGGCATAATATATGGTTTGAAAAACTTTGTTCTTTCTTTGTCCCAAAACAGCTCCTACAGCACTATCACTTGCATCACACATAAGCTCAAAAGGTAGATTCCAATCTGGTGCCACCATGATGGGTGCATTTATAAGTTTTTCCTTCAAAATATTAAAAGCATGCAAACATTCATCAGAAAAATTAAAAGGAATATCCTTAGCTAAGAGATTAGAAAGAGGTTTAGCTATTTTAGCAAAATCCTTAATAAATCTCCTATAAAATCTTGCATGTCCAAGGAAACTCCTCACAGCCTTCACGGAAGTTGGTGGGGATAATTTCTCAATCACTTCTACATTTGCTCTATCAACTTCAATACCTTTTTGAGAAACTTTATGTCCAAGGACTATACCCTCTTGTACCATAAAGTGACACTTTTCCCAATTTAAAACAAGGTTAGTCTCTTCACATCTTTGTAAAACCAAGTCCAAATGTTTCAAACATGCATCAAAAGAGTTACCAAACACAGAAAAATCATCCATGAATATCTCAATAATTTTCTCTACCATGTCATGAAAAATTGCCATCACACATCTTTGAAAAGTAGCAGGTGCATTACATAAACCAAAAGGCATTCTTCTATAAGCAACAGTACCATAAGGACAAGAGAGAGTGGTTTTTTCTTGGTCTTTGGGTGCCATAGGAATTTGATTATATCCTGAATAACCATCTAAAAAATAGTAAAAAGCATGCCCATCAAGTCTTTCCAACATTTGGTCAATACAAAGTAAAGGAAAATGATCCTTTCTAGTGGCATCATTCAATTTCCTATAATCTATGCAAACACGCCAACCAGTTACTGTCCTAGTAGGAATTAATTCATTATGGTCATTCATAACAACCATCATACCTCCTTTCTTTGGAACTACTTGGACTGGACTTACCCATGAGCTATCAGAAATAGGATAAATAATTCCAGCATCAAGTAATTTTATTACCTTAGCTTTCACTACCTCTTGCATGTGTGGATTTAAACGCCTTTGTGGTTGAATGCTTGGTTTGTAGCTTTCCTCCATGAGTATTTTGTGCATGCAAATTGAGGGACTAATTCCTTTTATGTCAATTATTGTCCACCCAAATGCTCCTTTGTGCTCCCTTAAAACTCGAAGAAGCTTTTCCTCCATTAAACCTGTCAAAGAAGAAAAAATAATTACAGGCAAAGAAAGATCTTCATCTAAATAAGCATATTTTAAATGAACAGGTAAAGGCTTGAGTTCAAGTTTTGGAGGTTCTTCAAGTGATGGTTTAAGCCGAGGCATATTAGCTCTAAAATCTTGAATACTTGGCTCCTTTGAGTTCAAGAACGGTGGGCAAGCTTCCAAATGAAATGCATACTCCCTAATGTCCTCATTTCCAACAGTAATGTCTTTGGAATGAACAACACATGTCTCCAACAGGTCTGGACAATCTTCTTGCAACATCTCATTAATTGTTTCATCAATTGTTTCCATCATAAAACAAGAGTCAATATCGGATGGGTATTTCATGGCATCAAAGACATTAAAAGTAACTTATTCATTTTCTACCCTAAGCATCAATTTTCCTTGCTACACATCAATTAAAGTTCTACCAGTGGCTAAAAAAGGTC